CACATCACATTGTGTATTGTGTGAGTAAAGTAACACTATATTTCACCACAATAATTTATGTATGATACCATTGATGACATAATGTTCACATAAATCATCATTGATAATTATTCTCATTGACAATATTTCTGATTATTGATATTTTTAGTCAGCCCTACCCAACATATCATCGATATGTGAGGGTCCATGAAGGACCATCTTGGTGTCTATGGAAATATGGACCATCCCAAAACCTCAACCATGTCTGTAGTGCCTAAAGAAGGACTGTCCGACATCTCATCGTATGTAGTGCCGAAAGAAGGACTGTCCGACATCTCATCCATGTCTGAGGGTCCGTGAAGGACCATCCATCCATGTCTGGTAGTGCCTAAAGAAGGACTGTCCGACATCTCATCCATGTCTGAGGGTCCGTGAAGGACCATCCATCCATGTCTGGTAGTGCCTAAAGAAGGACTGTCCGACATCTCATCCATGTCTGAGGGTCCGTGAAGGACCATCCATCTATGCCTCCGTGTCTCTGGAAGGATCGTTCTGACGCCTCAATCATGTCTGTGTCTGTGGCTTGACAATTCATCTATGTATTAATGTCTATGCAAGGACAATTCCAATACCTTTACATGTACCACCTACACCAACATACACTATACCCATATATGTACCAGTGTTCCCACACTGTACTGACATGTGTTTACCAACATGCACCATGTGTCTGTACTTCCGTATGTGTCATGTTAACCTTCATGTGTCATGTTAACCTCTATTTGTGATGTTAACCTCCATATGTGTCATTCATGTTAACCTCCAAATGTCATGTTAACCTTCATGTGTCATGTTAACCTCTACATGTGTCATGTTAATCTCCATGTGTCATGTTAACCTCTAAATGTGTCATGTTAACCTCCATATGTGTTATGGTAACCTCCACATGTATCATGTCATCATTCATATGTGTCATGTTAACCTAAGCATGTGTCATGTTAACCTCCATATGTGTCATGCATGTGATCTTTCACATGTGTCATATTAGCCTCCACATGTGTCATGTTAACCTCAACATGTGTCATGTTAAGCTCTGTATATATCATGTTAACCACCATATGTCATATTAACCTCTACATGTGTTATGTTAACCTCCACATGTATCATGTTATCATCTATATGTGTCATATTAACCTAAGCATGTGTCATGTTAACCATGTCCATTCATGTGATCCTCCAAATGTCATGTTAACCTCCACGTCATGTTAACCTCTATGTGTCATGTTAACCTCCACATGTGTCATGTTAACCTCCACACGTGTCATGTTAACCTCTACATGTGTCATGTTAACCTCCACATGTCATGTTAACCTCTACATGTGTCATGTTAACCTCCACATGTCATATTAACCTCCACATGTGTCATGTTAACCTCCACATGTGTCATGTTAACCTCCATATGTGTCATGTTAAACTCTACATGTGTCATGTTAACCTCCACATGTGTCATATTAACCTCCACATGTATCATGTTATCCTCTATATGTGCCATGTTAACCAAAGCATGTGTCATGTTAACCTCCATATGTGTCATGTTAACCTCCATATGAACCATCTGTGTCCCCTACCGCAAGCCCATCTACGTCCCCCTGGAAGCATGCCATAACGGCGGCTGCCCACACATGCTGATCGTCACACTGCCATGCTCCCAGCGCCTCAGGCCTGTGTGGTCCCAGCACCGTCCCAGCTTACAGCGTCCCAGCTTACACCCACATTACCAGTCCTCATTACAGCATGCCATCAATCCATGCATCCAAACTGAAGCTGACATGATAAAGAAAACTCTTTGACAGATTTATGGAATATGGAGGCTGATGGATGTATTCCTCCATGATCAGGTTCACTGTATCAAACAGCAATTTGATACAATGTTGGAAATTGTCACATGTGTTCTGTTCCTAAAACTATTAAACCTACTAGCACAAATGTTCCTTTCATTTTCAATTGGGTTTAATGTTTTCATGTATACTACAACCTGGGCTTATTGAACAGATTTGATTCAACTTGTGTTTCAAAGACCAATTAAATTCATGAATGACAAATGATTGTTCTTGCAGACTACCACTTCATCTTTGACGTAGATGGTAACTCCAGAGCAGATCTCACAATATCACACCACTATATGTCACAATATGATGTCACAACATGTCACTGTATGATATCAGGATAATAACAATATATCACTGTATCATGTATTATCTCACAATATCACACCACTATATATCACAATATGATGTCACAATGTCACTGTATGATATCACAATATGACATCACAATCCATCACTGTATGACATCACAATACAATGTCACAGTATGTCATCACACATAATTGTATGATATCATAATGCCATGTTACTGAATGATATCAGGATGTTGCAATTCAAACACAACATCATGGATATGATATCTACATATCAAAGAACGATGTCAATGTGTATATCCTGGAATAAAGACATGTTGAAACATTTATATCGCAGAGTGTCAAATTGCACGTGCACCTGGGCCACACAGCTCCCAGTACAAAATGTGCTGTTGTAGACAATGTGTTTCAAATGACAAGTCACCTGGTCACAGTTTCAGCATTTCAAGTTTGTTTGCTCATATACATCTGTTCCCTTGTTTCAGTGGGAAAACTTACAGAAATAACAGGAGAATACTCTTCACAGTATTGTTCCATTAGGCCAGACCAATTTTATTTCTTGTTTTACAGATCTGCCGGTTGTATTTTTTCAAGAAAAACAACAAAAAAAAATTAATTTTCCCCGGTCAAAAAATAAAATTCTAATGGCCAAATATGTAAACCTGCAAGAAATTTGTTGGGCCCCATATACACTTCATAAATTGCTAAAAGTAATATACTTTTAGTATTTAGAAGGAATATTACTTTGACTGGTGATTTTTTTTAAAAATGTTTTTCCCTCCTGCCTTTAGGTTTCTGACAACAAAAATCCGTAAAACAAGAAATAAAATTGGTCTGGCCTTAAGATCATATCAAACAGCCCCGAAAATGCCTTAAGTAATGTTCAAGCTCTGAAATTCAGTTCCAGAGACTAGTAGAATTCTTGTTTCGTTTGTAGCTAATATCTACCAAGTTTACATATTTTATTAGTTTTATTCAGTTCCAACTGCATTGAGAACTGGTTCAGAATGCGACGAGTCAATCGAGACTGCCATAATTGGATTTTCCCTTGTCCCCAGCACATTTTAGTAGTCTCTGGTGAGTGGACCAGCGTGAATTTCAAAGGTTGATTATAGCATATATTACAAAGCTTGGCTTTCATTGATGCCTTTTATATAATAATGAGCAAACCAACCAAATTAATAATTCTACTTCATCAACAATGTGAAGTGTTTTTCAAAGTTGTTGTGTAATGGTTTACAATGAACATAAGGCAAATGCAAATGCATGAACATTCATGACAAATAAAACCATGAGCAAAATTACAACCTGAAAGAAACATATGTGACAAATTGGGATATGGCTGCACTTACAAAACAAACAAGAACACAGAAATCAAGTGTTAGTGTATTTGGTGACTGTCAAAAGAAATGCTTCTTTACATTGAATACTACCCCATTTAATCCAATAAGCACACCATCTGTACTATTACAGGGGTGGAAATAACCAATTGCCCGACGCCCGAGTCCAGTGGTTTTTTCTGTCGGGCAAGCAAATTTGTATATCACACTGTACCGGTGTCCAGTTGACTTTCCAATATTAATTATGTTGTTTATTTAAAAAATCAACAAGAAAACGGCCGGTATAGTGGAAAAATTATCAGGGCAAGTGATTTTACATGTGCCACTGTACCGGAGTACACTAGCAATTTTAAAGTTATTTCCACCCCTGTATTAGCTCATTATAACATACATAGTTGAAGGTTTCCTGGGGTTCTGGAGGGTTCTATGATTTCTGTGTATACTGTAATGGCTCATGTCACAAATGCTGGAATGCCTTATAAATATGATGAATACCACATGTCCAACTATGTTAGAAATGTATCTAGATTTGTTTGTCAAGCTTGTAGTTATTACACATGTGATATGTATTTCTGATTAGCATAACAAAACATAAATAATGTAATGTTGTGACATATGTTATATTTGGGAGATTACACTTTCTCAGTAAAATACAGATTCTAGTACTTTTGGGTTGAGTCCCATCCGGGATTCGAACACACACCCTCAGAGTCAGGCACCTAATGGCCAGCACACAAAGCGGTCTAGGCGGCTGAATTTGTGTGCTGGCCATTAGGTGCCTGACTCTGAGGGTGTGGGTTCGAATCCCGGATCGGACTCAACCCCAAAAGTACTAGAATCTGTATTTTACTGAGAAAGTGTAATCTCCCAAATATAACATATGTTACATTTGACCACTTTCTAAAATGGCATTGTGTATTATCAATGTAATGTTGTGTCCAGGAGCGTGTTAAATTTGACACAATAAACATTTCCATTTCAAAGTGACACTTTCTGCACTTTTCTGCACATATTTGTACATATTCTGCAGGAAATTCTTACCCCTGCATGTAAATATATATATATATATATCGTAGAACATCCAATATCAACCATGAAGATGCTCAGTGGCACCAAGCACATATTATGGGCAAAGCACAAACATTATTATATTACCCTGATTAACCAAGCTGCCTGTGAGGTGCAAGAAGGTAAACAGTCATATGACCATCTTATCCCACCGGGTACCCATTCACTGCTAGGTGAACAGAGGCAATATTGAACAAACTCACAATGTGTCATGTGTGCTTCATTGTGGGACAGAACCGAAGTCCTAGAAACTCTCAGGAATCAAATAGGTACATCTGTATAATCATGATAATCATACTTTGGTATTGATACTGAATTCCCATGGTGGCTTATTGTGTCAAATACGGTATCCTGTAAAACAAGGATGTGTGTAATGTAAGTAGGTGTGTGTATATTATAAAAGGGGGACTCACATTTTGACCCCTGGGGGTGGGTCCCACACACATTCGCCAGTGGTGAGGTTGGCGTACATGTGCTCCTTGGTCTGGGGCTCGATGATTTCCACCCATTCCCACCTGAAACAAACAACAACCAAATTAACACATCAAATATGCAACGGAAACATTCACAGAACCGAGGTTCAATACCATCTGCCTTTAATAGCAGTAAGTTGGGATTTATGCCGCTTTTAACAATATTCCAGCAATATCATGGTGGGGATACCAGATATGGGCTACACAGATTCAAACCATGTGGGGAATGGAACTCGGGTCTTCGATGTGATGAGCCGACAGTTTCACCACTTGGCTACCCCCTAGTCCCCTCTTAAAAGGACTTCACAGTGTCACTGATATACTCGTTGTTCTGAAGACATTTTGGATTTTTCATTAAACTCCCAGTGCAATGGTTGTATCGCCTGAATACACCTGGAGATGGGTATGATTGCACGTGAAATACAAAGTAATTTGGGGTATATAAGACGGTGGTAAACGATACACCATCCCATTCGTTCCATTTTTCGTCCCATTCGCTCTTAGGCATAAGACTTGTGGGATTGACTGTTTAGTTTGTAGGTATTTGACTTGAAGGTTTAGTTTGCTGTTGTTGTATTAGATTAGTGGCTTTTGAGTGTTAGATTGTTGAACTTGTATTAGAACACTCTAGTGCTTAGATGTTAGACAATTAATGGTATTTAGCGGTTTCATTTCAAAGTTCATTTTATTCACTTTCAGAGAATCACGTTTAGTTCGCTGTAAATCATGCACTAGTTTTCTCACTTGTAATAGTTATCACATTTACTTCCTTGTTTAGGCCAAAGGTAAGTTTCAAAATATAGTTGATTAGGTTTTCAGTTACATTTATTAGACAGCTCTGTTTATTTCCACTACGCAACACTTGCACAATATGTTTTTCAAACAATGCATATTGCTGGGATAGATTGAACAAAGAACACTTTACGCCACTTTTAGCAATACTCCAGCAATACCTTGGCAAAAGACACCAGAAATGGTCTTAACACATTGTACCCACATGGGGAAACGAACCCAGGTCTTAGTCATGACAATCAAACACTTTAACCACTAGGCTATTACCATGGAATCCAATGCAAATTGTTTTTTGAAGTTTCAGATATTTATGGGGATGAGTTTTACAACATGTGAAAGCTTATACATGTAACTGCTACATAATACTGTCAGTGTCAACAGATGACAAAACAAGTATGATAAAAATTAAAAAATACTGTCAGCCCAACATCAGCACCAGATATTAATCAGTGTCATAAAAGGCAAACAAGTTATACAAATAATCCTCAATGGGCCACGGAAATCAGATATGACACCAGGTGTTCAAAAAAATGTTACCCTTTTCAAGACTACCTTATCATCTGCCCTGCACCACTGGTATTACTTGGCACTCTAAAATTCACATAAAAAAATAAGTGCTTCTTTTTCGCCAAATTTCCTCCCAGCAGAACTATTGCCATACATATCTACTGCCTTTGTCCGGGCGGTGGGGTAGCCTAGTGGTTAAAGCGTTCACTCGTCACGCCGAACACCCGGGTTCAATTCCTCACATGGGTACAATGTGTGAAGCCCATTTCTGTTGTCCCCACCGCGATATTACTGGAATATTGCTAAAAGCGCCGTAAAACCATACTCACTCACTCATTACTGCCTTTGTCAAGTGTAATTCCATATTGCGAGCTACACTTATTAATGGTTTGTTTATTGGTTTGTTGTTCAATGCCACACATAGCAATATTCTAGCAATACCACGGCAGGGGACACCAGACATCGGGCATTTTGGGATGAAATTAAGTGGTTTGCATTAATACAAATAATGAGTGAGTGAGTTTAATTTTACACCGCTTTTAGCAATATTCCAGCAATATCACGGCAGGGGACACCAAAAATGGGCTTCACACATTGTACCCATGCAGGGAAATGAATTCAGGTCTTCGGCGTGATGTGCAGGCGCTTTAACCACTAGGCTACCCCACCGCCCCTATACAACTAATGAAACCAGCATTGATCGACTCATAATACCACTGACTGACTGACTGAGTTTAGTTTTACGCCGCTTTTAGCAATATTCCAGCAATATCACGGCAGGGGACACCAGAAATGGGCATAACACATTGTGCCCATGTGGGGAATCGAACCCGGATCCTCGGCGTGACGAGCCAACGCTTTAACCACTAGGCTACCCCACCGCCCCCTCATAATACCAGCACATTGATCATCACTTCATGGTACAGTGGTTACCTTCTCTACTGGTTTTTCATTCCAGTTGTGTCTGCCCACTAGTATGTATCATGTAATTTCTGTGTGGGGAACAGGTTTCATCACTTATGGATGTGTTACACATACTGTCTGGGAACAGGTGAACAGTTCACCCGCTGCTGCAAACAAATTAGCCGCTACAGTTAACAAGCATTAAATTTATATGTTATTGTTTTTGGTAAATATTGAACTGATGAATTAAAATGAATTAAAATCCAAATGTGTTAAAAAAAAGCGATGACATATTTTCGATACGTAGCACACGTCATAAACTAGAGGCCATTTAATTGGCTGGTTGAGACAATCACGTGATATTGGAAGGCGGAACTACGTTTTTCATTCATAACTTTTACTACGAATACAATGTTTACTACAACTTCAGTTACTCTCGTTTCCTCCTTCTGACACATTTATCAACACTAATAAACACTAGATTTCAGTAAAAAATAACACATATCACATTTTTCAAGAGTTTGTCAGAATTTGACTGTTTTGAATCGGTGCTAGATTTTCAGTCCTACAACAGTTAATGTCAATGCGCAGTGACCTTGACCTTTCTGTATATGTATTCATACACTTCAAGGCTATATTTAGATGGCTTTCAACATTGGAACTCCTGGTAAAACACTGTTATTTATTGCAATTAAAGAATTCTGAAGAGTAGGGACTAATAAAGAAATTAACACACTCTCGTAGATGTCATATTGTATGTACAGCATTCATGCCAGAAAAATGATATTTCTCTTGTTCTTGCTCATGAAATATCATTTTTCAGGCAGTCATATTGTAAATACAATATGACATCTATGCTTGGGTATTAATCTCTATGTAATGCTATTTAATAGAACAAGTTTAGGGTCCACACCCATGAGTGCAGGTCAAGTGCAGATCCAAAAATACAGTTTGTTATTTTGCTATTGCCTGTTCCTATGGACCACAACTAATTCTGGTAAGTGTCATACCCTAAAATGATCTCATATGATTGGTGGTCAGGATCGCTGACTTGGCCATTGCATATCATCATATGCCTGTTGAACACATCTATGCTCATGACATCAATCACTGGATTGCCTGGTCCAGACTCATTTTATTATCATATATCGGGAACATTGGTGAGAGTAGTGCTAAACAACAAAAAGACATGTTTCAGTATTTCTTACTTGTGTATGTGCTGTAAACAAAGATGCTCTGTGCAGTTTCTTCAAACAATAAAAAACATCAGGAAACTATAAGTGATGGGTATTGTTATTCTCATTCATCATATATCATTAATCCATCACTGTTTGCTTTCTCAAACCAATAATCAATCATGAAAAAACACCAATTTCACAAATCACAAATTTACCAAAATACCTCTCAATCCATTTATAAAAATACCTCCCAATTCTTTAAAAAACAACTCCTAACCAATGCCTACAAAAAATACCTCCCGATACCTACAAAATACCTAAAATACATTTTGATAGCTTAACAGGGGTGCAAATAACTTTAAAATTGATAGTGTACTCCGGTACAGTGGCACATGTAAAGTCACTTGCCCTGATAATTTTTCCACTATACCGAACGCTTTCTTGCTGATTTTTTAAATAAACAACATAATTAACATTGGAAAGTCAACTGGACACCGATACAGTGTGATATACAAATTTGCTTGCCTGACAGAAAAAAACAGTGGACACAGACGTCAGGCAATGGGTTATTTCCACCCCTGGCTTAAACAAAGATGTTCCAATACTATTAAAAAAATATCACTCCATACTTCAAAAAACAACTGACAACAAATACCTACAACAATAATACCTCACAATATCATAAAATATACCTTCCAATATCATAAGAAATACCTTCCATTACCTTAAAAAAAATACTTTCCAATATATAAAATACCTTCCAATATCATAAACACCTTCCAATATCATAAACAATACCTCTCAATATAAATATCTTCCAATAAAAAAATACCTTTCAATATCATAAAAAATACCTTCCAGTACCTTAAAAAAATGCCTTCAAAAACCTCTCCGAACCACTACCTACAGAAACAATACCACCCAATACCTCCAAACACTCAATTTAACATATTGTTGACAACAATGGCCAAACAGCAACCCTGTACGTAAAACCATGTTCAACAACAACGCTTCAGAGCTGACACACACATAGCTTCATGGTGTCCTCTTGTGTCACCTCACAGGCCAGTCACAGTGGAAGTGGTTAGAAGCACCCACGCCTGACAGAATTCCAGCACGTTCAGGATGCCGAATGAATAATTAACAGGAATATGCAGACATCTTTTTCCACAATGACGTTTACCACCCTGTGATGACAGTTTTAATGGTGACTTCTTGGATGAAGGCCTTGATGTTTCTGTTGTTGCTGACGGTGGCTGCACCAGCACAAGCGCTCACAGATAATAAATGTTGTACAATTGATTCAGGTATTTGCAGAAAGACGTGCAGTTAACGTAACAGTCGCCCGTGGAACTGCATGAATGGCATGGTCGAATTCCTGATATTCACAACATCAGCAGTAATGGTGCTTTAGTCACCTCTTTGGTTTGTTGTTTTGGCTGGATCCTCCATAATGGCTTTTGACATGTTGCTCGAATAAGTTAGGAACAACCTGATTCTCTTAAACTACTATAATCTATGTGCACTTGCATGACAGATTAGCTTTAGTAATGTGAAAGAGTAAGTAAGTTTAGTTTTACGCCGGTTTTTTGCAATATTCCAGCAATATCACGACGGGGGACACCAGAAATGGGCTTAACACATTGTACCCATGTGGGGAATCGAACCTGGGTCTTCGGCGTGACGAGCCAACACTTTAACCACTAGGCTACCCCATCGCCACTAATGTGAAAGAACAGGTGCTAACTTTTTTTAAAGAATAATAATAATAATGTGTCCATTTATTTAGCGCCAAACTCCACACTAGGTATGCTCATAGTGCTAACAATGAATAGCACAGCACATTATTACCCTGGATAACCCAAACTGCCTGTTTTAAGTACAATATACAGAAAACTACAGCTAAAACAATTGAGCGAGCTTACTTTTATGCCACTTTTAGCAATATTCCAGCAATATCACGGAAATGGGCTTCACACATGGTACCCATGTGGGGAATCGAATCAGGGTCCTCTGCAAGATGATACTACGCTACCCCACTGTTACAATGAACTCAACGGGACCACTAATTTTAGTTTGTCATAAGTGTAGTTTGTTACACAGTTTGAATAGACTATACACCAATTGGGTGGAACCAGTTCACTATAAATTTAGTGTACTGTATCAGTCAGTGGATGCTTGAGTTTGCTACTGTATATACTACTCAAAAAAAGACAAAGAAGTTCTTTCACAGTACCTTGGTTTATCTGTCATGCTATGATATATGAAGTGAGTGGGCATGGTTTCACACCGCTTTTAGCAATATTCCAGCAATATCACGGCAGGGACACCAGCTATGGGTTTAACACATTGTACCCATGAGGGGAATCGAACCCGGGTCTTCAGCGTGACGAGTGAACGCTTTAACCATTAGGCTACCACACCGCCCCTCATAATATATGAAAGAAGTGGTTGGTCCTTAACTTTATTTGACTAGTATATGATGAACAGCATCCCATGTTGGCATGACAAGCTATCACCGAAGTCAGGAAACCAGACCATCCATTTAGTTGCTGATTCCAATCTCACACGAGTCCAATTCTAACCAAGAACCCAAACTCAATCATTTACAGACACCATACACCTGGAATACTGTTCACTGTGGCATCAAAAAACAAAAACAAATGTAGTACACAAATGTAGCTTTAAACCAAACTTTCACTGGGATGTATCTAGGATACCAACCTAAGTGCTCTGGGCAGGATAACCAGACAAAAATCATTATTTTTTCAAAATTGTGACTTTTTTATCTATGTTTTGTTTCCCTTGTATTAGGAGATATTTAACAGTGCTGCATATGAATCAGTAAACCCTCTTTGATCCGCGATCGCTTCTGATATCAGTGAAATACAAGTCACCTCGACAAAGCCCTCACTTTAGCTATCACCGTAACTTGAAATGGGAATAACTTTTATCCAATCTGGGAATTACTCACATTGGCTGCAGATGAATATCCATCAGGCTGGTCCAGAGAAATCCCGGACTTAACATGAAGCAATTGAATTGTTTGTATATTTTAGTCTGAAAATGCTTCGGGATACAACCCAGCTCACATCTACATCACCATCACAAATGTGTTCAGATTCAATGATGTACAGTATTTCCAGGAAGAACTGAACATTTCACCAGCATATTATTTGCCCTCAGAGATAAAAATTGGCAGAAAAATCCCAGAGTAAACAAAATGCCTCATTTCTGTGTAAGAGATTATTACATGTTCAGTAATTTTAGACACCAAAATCTTTTTGCAACATGCCACTATGAATCATGCAAACACATTGTCAAGTCCAAATATGTTCCCAAACAAAAAATGTTTCAAATATTTCAGTGCTGAAGAAGAAAGAAAAAAAACAAGCAGATGACAAATAGGCCTCCAGAACATATCCGATAAGTTATCTCTGCTCAAATTTAAAAAAGTATATGGAACTTCATAAAACAAAACAATAAAAGCAACAGGAACTGACAATACGGACAAAAACATTTTATAAAAATATCTTAACCTGATCAAATTGACAGAGAAAGAATTCCCTCCGGACAGTTTCAACACAAATACATTGTGACAGCCAAAAAACCCCATTATTTTGTCATACTTTTAAATGTTTTGTTCTGGAACCATTATATCAAGCTGAAATATTCCCCAGGGGGTATCTTTTAAAATATGATAGAAAAATACTTCAAAGCCTTGCAAAAATGGAAAAACTGTTTCTTCGCAATATATTGTATTTGTTTTTGCTGACTGACTTGCAAAAAACAATTAATAAACTCTCATTAATAACAAAAACGTCTTTACAAAAGAAAGCCAAACTGGTGAAATTTCCAATGTTGCTATGAAGGACTGGTTTCCTATACTGTCTAGGAGAAGCTTTTAGTCAGTCTGTCTGAAAATATCAACAGGGCAATATGTGAGTGAGTGAGTTTAGTTTTAACACCGCCTTTAGCAGTTTTCCAGCAATATCAGGGCGAGGGACACCAGAAATGGGCTTTACACATTGTACCCATGTGGGAAATCGAACCTGGGTCATCATTTTAACCATTAGGCTACCCCACCACCTCACCGATATGTTAAATCACTGGCCTTGAGGCTTATGGGGATTGTAAAGCCTATCTTCTCAAGTTGAAATATATCGAACAATCCTTCAAGCAGAGGTTTGTGAGCTAAAGCTTGAAGTTTTGAAAAATCATGTGAAAATTATATGAACGTACCACTGAAAATCTGCGATGACACCAGATGTTCATCAAAGCATCCTGTTGTGGATGAAATCTCTTCATCGTAGTAACACATTTCAAAATTATACTGACAACATTCAGCAATATTCTGGCTAAATTACTAAATTACTTCAGTATGTAAATAGCTGAGTACAGACAATCCAGTGATATGAGCATTGATCTTCGCAACTAGGTCACAAAGTCAACCATGTCCGCAAGTCAACCATGTCCGCGAGTCTGACCACCTGGCCCAGTCTTGAATCAAGCATGGCTACAGAAAACCAGTTTCAACCCAGATTCTATAAACGGTTCTTGCAATGATGATAACAGTAACATACCTAGAAATAGTCCAAATTCAATTTCATTGAAAGAAACATTTAAATCTCTGCTAAAGACCCATCTGTACACTGCTACCTTTCAGTAAAAGTTATATGAACTATTTCCTCCCCAATATTGTCACAGTGCCACTGAGCATCTCTATGGTGGATATTAGGCGCTTTATAAATACATTATTATTTTTATTGTATTATTATTAACTATCCTAAGCTACTTTGGACAAAATGCAAAACTTAGCTGGGTTTGACACATTGGTCAGTTGTTACTAGGTACTAGTCCGCAATTATTGGACATGGTTTGTCAGTGTTCACGAATAGCGCTGGACCCTCAGACAAATCCAGCAGATTTGCTGTAGGTCCGATGGAAGTCTACAACCCGCCTGGCCCCAGTGTTAGACTGTATATTTCACAATGACTGTGACTGAAGTTGTTATATGTGACCTGTCACACTTGTTTGCTGTTTATGAATTTTACGCTTGTTAATAATTTCAGTGCCAATTACAAGAAATGTTAAATCTGAAATGTGTGTTTATTTTTTCTTCTGTGGGTCCCGTGAATTTTCAGTGGGTCAGACAGACATCTGAAACTTACAGGATTGAAACATCATTCGTGAACACTGTTTGTGTGAAACAGCTCGGCTTGGGTAGAATAGGATGAGGTTTCACTTGTTTGTGACTTTCATACGAGCAGCCACGTCTAACCTTGCTAAATTCTAGTTAACATTTTGGATCTTTAATAGGTGAAGTTCAGAGCCGCATAACCTTCAAGAACATTGCAAAAGCCTGCAACAGACAAAAAACCAATCTCCTTAACTTTCATTTCATCTAAAACCCTTGCTGTCTTTCCTACAGAATAGAGAAAAGGTTAAAGAAAAAGATCAATGGTGACAGTGACGCATTTATGGAGGTCTACCAAGGGACAAAACAAGATCAATGATACTGTACCCAAAATGGGAGGAGTAGGCCTGGTTATCCAATTTCTTCCCCATTCTGACGTTTCACTGGTTCATCTATCCTGATGGAACTCCAGCCTTCTTCAGGTACCAATGAACAAAGACTTCTCCTGAATCGCTATAGCAGCTTATATGATGTTATTCCAACTGCAGCATGGCTTATTGGTCAATATGTTTTCACTGTATAACAGGACAAGTCTTTGAATCTGTTCACAATGTAAATCACATTTATTGTTTGAACACATAACATGGACACTTCCCTTTTATTCGCTGGTTTGGTTGATATGAACACATTTTTCTTCGTCACCTAACCGTTGAACTGTCTTCCTCTCAATCATTCCAAGTTTCAAATTATTCCACAGACATCAATAATCCTTTGCAACCGATTGAATCACGACAATCCTTTTCATAAGAATCATTCAGAATGTAAAATTTCACTTCTATTTCTATATATAGCCATCAAAAACCTGTTTCAACTTGATCGACAATGCCTTAGTGATTTAAAAACAATATCACTTTCTGTATCAGAAGTCGCTTTTATCGCCTCTTCAAAGACAACGCATTCTTCACATTCCGCATAAAATAACACAATCACCAAGATCAAAGGGTGACAATTAAAAATAAGACCAGGACAGTCAGACTTGTAAGTCTGTCGTAGATGACACAGGGTCTAAAAGCGATTCATTCACAACGCCATCTGTGACCATGTCTGGCTCCAGTATTCCATTCTGGGAATCGTTTTCAGCTGTCCCGTCTAAGTCATCAATATTCCTGCCAATGACTGGTTAACACACAGCCGTGTGATCCATTCAAGTCTAAGCTACAGTTTCAATAAAGGTATCCTTGTTTGAGCGATATGATTCCTCCTCTATTCATAGTCGTATTCATCAAATATAATTACATGTCAAATATGACATTGGCGGCAAATACACGAGATTCTTGTTCACGGAATATGTTCATGAGTCATCATATGCATGTCCAATTCTGTCTCCTCTTGAAATCGTGATCATTCAGGATATCACTAAACACGTTTCAACCAACTTAGTATGTCCAATACCCACCAGTTGGAGATTTCTTACTTTTAATCAGTCCTTGAATATTTTCCACTAAACCACACCATTTTTTCCATACGTATCTTGCAGATGTTCATTTATAATATTTACTTCTTTTTCAAAAGAAGGAAAATTAAAGTGGAAAGTGACCTTTCTTAGAGACTCAATAAGAAGGTTGAATATGTAGCATGAGAATGATCAAATATGGAGCATGAAATAATCTATATTGAAACAGTATGATCCACACTGCTACAAGATGCCATCAAACTGTATGATCCACACTGCTGAAAGGTGCCATCTGAATATGCCACAGTTCCATCAGTAAATGTTTACAAAATCCAAAATAGAATATGGTTCCAACTTGACCATATTCCAAACAATTGGTTCCTGCAAGGGAAACTGTATCCCCAGGGCAGCTCATCCCCACTGGGCAGACTTGCTACAAATGAGCTGATCACCAGCACAGCGCCAATCCAGCAGGTGTCATCTGTTTCATATTTAATGGAAGCTGTCACTATCGCTTTTCACTCCAGTGAAATAAATTCCATCAACTGGCTGATATCTGTTCATCTGGAAGCAAGGTCTTTCAGCACAATGAAAACCTCCTAGAAACACACAGTGTCCTGCGAACTTTCATACAGTCCTCAGAACCTACATGTTGTCCTCAAAACTCATATTGTCCTAGAAATGCACAAATTGTCTTTGAAACTTAAAGAAAGTCCATTAAATTCTCACAGTTGTTCCAGCAATACACAAATTGTCACTGAAACTCATACAACTGTCTTTGTAAAACACAAATGTTCAAGTTGTTTATCAGCCTAGAAAATGACATCTGTTGAACTTAGATGATTTGAAATGAGTTTCAATACGCTGTGTTGCACACACAGCACGTCCGGATGCAGTCCAGTCACTACACTTTCAACATGTAATTCTTGCAGCTATGCAAAATATCCTGGAGATTATGACATCCATGGAACCCTTTGCTGAATGTCAATATAGCAATATAACATCAATCAATGTCTGTCCACTTGATCAAATGGTTCGAGATAGCCGAGATGAGACCTTGGTCAATGAATGAATGAACGAACGAACATCATAATTTGCTGCATCAGCATATTTTCACTACTCAATGGACTGGTATGCAAAACATGTTTAACATCTTACTTGAAGCATTGTGTTCCACAGCAATGAGCTCCAGTGTTGGATGTCATGTTTCAAATCCATTAACATGGGAAAAAGCGATTCTAATGGACAGCGCGTCAAGTGGAAATGATCATTCAGTCAATTGGATGTTAACACATGAATTTCTTTACGATAACAATTTCCTTATTGTTACATAACACATTTGAGGGCAAGTTGGTCTTTTATCAGAGGAATATCAGATGTTCATTGCAAATAACACTTCATGAAACAGACCCAGTCAGCCACACCTATAACCAAATACTTTTTCAAAATGTTATTAAGTATTCAAGGTTCTTTATTCCTCCAATGAATGAGCTGCTCTGCCTGTGTGATAAGAACATTTATTCCCATGTGTAAGATGCATACACCTGACAAGTGAAATATCTCACACTGACTGCTGAGCAGGAATGTTGCAGAAACCATCTAACAAACAAATAACTATCTTTGATTTAGGAAAGCATAATACACTAAAATTATATTAATGTGTCATCAGTTGTATGTAATACTATGTATGTATATTAAGATGAACAATCTGCTTGACAAACATGCTGTCCTACTTTGCCCTTGTTGAATTACAGTTACACTGACATAAGTATGCTCATAACAGACATATTAACTGGTTAATCATTCTGTCTATCTGAACAGGTTGCACTACACATAAATGGTACATCCGAAGACCCCTGGGTCAGACAGACATCAGGATATCCTGCACCTACTGATCACAATAGATGAATATATTCCCGAATTAAAACTGTCGACATGTAATGTACAAGCATTCCCGGTGTCAACAAGCATTAAAACAATGATTCACTAATCTAACAGTGAGTCACATCTAGGAAAACAATTGCTTGAATAACAAAATCCTGGTTCAACGACAAGTAGGTTGCTTTTCAAAACTACCTGGTACTTCAATGAATATATTTTTTAAATTCCTTAACAAAAGTATTCATTATCATGATAACGTTTAAATCAGAATAGTTATGGGTTTATTCTGCTAACATGTTTTAAATATCAAGTTTTGTGAAAAATCTAGCAAGCAATAAATTATTCCATCACGGAAAGAAATATAGATCAGATACTTGACTGACCAACTTCTTTATTACAATAGGAGCAACGTTTCCGTATTTGCTCTAACGCCATTATTAAGTATGTGGAAGGAAATCATCATCCGTCTTTATTCACCAGAAGATTCTATTCCCAATTCAAAATGTTTACATCTATTCAAATACGAACCTCATCATCCTTTAGATCAAATGCACAATACTATGACTGAATGAAACCATTTCCACTGAATCCATTCACACAGTCAATGCTGATTTGAGATCTCTTCAACAGATTGTCCAAAGATACACAAATAAAAAGAAATCAATGAATATTATCAAGCCTTTGAGATTTTGTGTCAAACATGCAGTCTTGAAAACCTCCAGTGAATCCAGCTGCAAAAGCGAACCAGAATTTTTTCACAAATTACAAACATTTCTTTGGTGTTTCCTTAGGTTGTTTTCCTTGAAATGTCCACAAACTTGGATACACTGAAATCACAGTGCTGTCAACAGAACAAACTGTTGTATTCTTTCATAAAAGACCTTCTCACTCTTCTTTTAATATAAAATGTGTATATGATTTCACTGCAATTCCATCATCTGACATACAATCATATCAAGTCAACAACAAAATGCTTCTTCACTCTCTGCGATTAATCCCAAACGAATATTCTTATATTCTGGAAATCCAAAGTCCTTGGGAGTATAAATTATTCTTGTTTTCACAAATCCATCAGTGAAACAATATCTATCCAAATTCATTTAAAACAAATCACATCCATTATCATCATTAGCCACTGCTTGTAGCAGACGCTGAGAGCAGACGGTCATGACCAAACGTCTGACATTTGTAAGCAGTTTGTCTTGCAGGATGCCACAACCTGCCCGAGTCAAACAAACTGCGCTGAGGTGTCTTCTGTATTAAAGTAAGGGGTCTACACCTACTCCAGACCGGTCTCTGAACTGGGTCTGTCCCACAGACACATCCAACCACCTGGCTGGTTATGTAATCCTGGATCAATTCCTGCCTGTACAGGGATGCAATATCCTGTCTAGCAGGTAACATCTCATTACACAGGACAAGCCTTGTACACAAATCAGCGGCCGGCTCTCTGGGATCAGTGTTATTATCAGTGCTGGGATTTGAAGTAGACTCTGCACTGGTTTACGCTGACAATGTAATAGTCAGTATGGGATTCATAAGACTGTGATTGAATGAAAAGAACACTGTGATCCTGATGCCATAATCCTCATAGGCGGTATTTGAGACGTCACAGTACATCAGTTGTTGAAAATCTCCATTTATGTTCTATTTCAATCTTAGACTATGTTTGTCTGATTTGCTTTGAATCACTTCAAAGAAAGTATTCCATATTCATAGTTTCCCAATTTCATCATATGAGTAAGTGAGTGAGTGGGTTTAGTTTTACGCGTCACTTAGCAATATTCCAGCTATATGGCAACGTCTAATGTTCAAATGAAGATTTAACTATACTGGTTAAAGACTGTACTTCCATTGCATCACCTTCATCATGTGTCAAGACTGATTCTCAATGCAAGTGTTTATTGTTATTTAAAGATAACTTTTCAAAATGCATTAAGAGTGTATCATTGTTTATTACACAATCTGCTGTCCCAAACAGAAATCAAATCAAGCAATCCCTTTCATGTGTTTTTCAAACTTCCATCAGAGCGTCAATGACAAAGAGTGCCACATGCCAATCGTACAATCAGGACAATAGAACACACACTACAGTTCTGCTGCAACAAGTCATGAAAGCTTTTTTTATCAGCTCTGTATAAAACAGCACAGCCATCCCAACAAATACAAGCTGAGTTGGCTGGACAGAAATGGAGATAAACTATATCATGTCTCTTTAATCAAGTCTGAACCAGGCAAACCACTGGTTGATGACATGAGGAACAATCCATGTCTTTCAGTGCACAATGACGTGAAGGTCCGGGTTAGACTTGATCTTCAGTAACCCATGCTTGTCGTAAGAGGCGACTAACGGGATTGGGTGGTCAGACTCGCTGACTTGGTTGACACATGTCAGTCCTTGGTTCCCAATTACGCAGATTGATGCTCATGCTGTTGATCACTGGATTATCTGGTCCAGACTCAATTATTTACAGACCGCCGCCATATAGCTGGAATATTGCTGAGTGCGGCGTAAACCTAAACTCCTTCTGAAGCAAATCCTTTTTAACACTATGACCAGGAAAGTAAATAAACTGTTTAGGGAGCAGGCATTCTAAACAATCAAAAAAAAACACTACAATTCATGGAAGTTCAATCAGAACTGAAATGATTCAAAACTCAAGACCCTCTATAATTAACCAATTATAATGCTATTTTCCACATAACTATATCAATAAAAGAAAACTTTCACCGGAGTATAAACATCTCAGCCCCAGGCTGTAGGACTAAGATTCGGTATGAATTAGCGTTTTCGTTTCTTCCATCCCACAGCGTAACAACAGGAACAGCATTCTATTCATCAACTAACCAAACTTAGTGGTTAGGAGCCATTGATTCCACTGCCTGACATTCTTCAACAAATTGATATTTCGGCTGAACGAGATGAGGTGGACAGCCATCGTATCGTTCGATCAAACACGCACAAAAAAGAAACCATCAACCCCAGATGAAAGGGCTCTAGAAATTAACTTCCAATGTAGAATTGAATTTCTTGGTGTCACAATTAAAGGCTTTTGTCCGATAAATTGAGCACTTCCGACAGAAGACATTATTTGGAAGTCGGAAACAGTTAGAGTCTTTTACCATCACAACTGTGACCGGGTGACAATGCTTCATTGCTTGCCATCTATCCTTGTGTCAAAGGTTCTGTTTCTAAGGTAACAAAGGTCCAGGGACAGGCAGACTATCATTACCAAGTTCAAGATGCTGTATTCCTGTAAACATCCTTCAGGGGTTAATATTGAATTACAAACTTTACATAGATGGAGACAATCGCTTGACAAATTCACAACACCT